AACTGTCTCCTGGTAGCTGTGATGGATCAAGAGGTAAGCGATGCACTATTATTTTTGTACAGCTAATTTCAGAGTGGATTCAGCTCATATTGGTTGTAGTCACTGAGCTGGTATATAGCAATAGAATTGGCTCTTATCCAATTGGTGGGGCTACAGAACATATGGCTGTGACTTGGTCGCATGGTAAAATTGCTTTTTTCTGTTGGGTGAGGCAAGAAGAAAGGAAACAAACAAAGAAACCAGCCAAACAATAGTAAAAAAAAATGAAAGTCAATAGCTTTGTCTCCACCTGTAAGCAGTATGCTAAACTGTCTACTGGCTTCTTGCCTTCACAGCCACCCCAGAAAATGCAAGATGTCTATGCTGTGCTCAGCAGGTCTGCACAGATCACCAGCCCTCTCCCCTCCACCCCCACTTTTTTTTTTTTTTTTTTTAATTTACCTTACGCTTCTGTTCAGCCACCTCTCCTATAAGAGCCATTTCAGGGCTAGCCAGTGTTGACTTCACAGGTTTGGAGTAGGGCCCGCCTTAGCAGTGTTATTGTAGATATATCCTCTCTGGGGCTCACAACCTCATTTACCACCTCTGTGTGGCTCTGACTTCCTGGAAAGTGGGAGTTTCCCTGGGGGCGTGTGCTGGTGGAGGTCAGCCTCACCTTTGGTCACAGGGGAATGTGAGGAACTAGAGGGGAAAAGGAAGAAAAATAAATCACACCTTTGTCTCCGGGAACCACAGGTAGGTTTCTGCAATGTGAATGTTTTCTTGTCTCTAAAGACACTCATGAACTCTCAAGATGAATGTGGAAGGTCCTGTTGGCCACCACAGCTCAGCAGTCACCTCTTCCTTTGCCGCGTCTGCTCAGTTCTTTCTTCCAGTAAGCACTTGATTCATTTTTCTACATCTTCCTCTGAAAGTTCAGTGTTGTAGGACTGTCCTCTTCATCTGCCTCATCCAGTTTTCCATAGCCGTGCTGCAGAGGGTCCACATAGCTTTTCTGACTAGTCCACCATCTTGCCCCACCTCCTTAATTTGCTCTATTTTCTGGTCATTTAAGGTAGAAACCCTATACAGGGTCCCTATGGATCAGAACTAATTCAATAGCATTCAACAAAGGTGGAAGCTTAGTCATTGATCTGATTCCTTTTATCCTAATTACTGCTATGGATTTTCCCCTAAGTAATACTTAGCTTCATCTCACAAATTTTGATACATTTTGTTTTCATTTTCACTCAGTTCAAAATATTTTCTAGTCACACCTTTTATTTATTTCCTTGGCTATTTAGCGGTGTGATGTTTAGTTTTCAAACATTTGGATATTTTCCAAATATCATTCAGGTATTGATTTCTAAGTTAATTCCATTGGTCAGACTGCAAACTTGAATCCTTTGTATTTTCTGAGACATGCTTCAAAGTCAATTCCTCATGTGCTCTTGGCTTCTGCTAATCCCCATTCATTGCTCCTGGGTTTTTTTCTTCCAGTTTTTCAAATTATTTGTTTTTGTTGTTGGTTGCTTTGAGTTGGTTCTGATTCATAGTGATCCTGTGCACAACAGAAATACTGCCCGATCCTTCGCCATCCTCACGTTTATTCCTATGTTTGAGTTCATTGTTGCAGTCACTGTGTCAGTCTATGTTGTTTAGGGTCTTGCTCTTTTTCACAGTTGTGCACATACACTTTAAATTAGATTTCCTAGTTCTGGAGCAAGTAATTTTTTTTCTCTCTCATGTTTTATTGTGAATTATATGATAGTTTACATGAGAGAACTTTAGTTTTACATTCATTCCACCGTATATCATTTCATTGCCATGGTTCCAATCCCCTCCATGCATCATCAACCGACCAAAGGGTATACCCTACAAACCCGCCCCCTACACTCCCTCACACCCCCCCCCTGCAGTCTTCAGCACACAGTCCCTCTCCCTCTCTAGATCCAAAGTCCCCAGCCGCTTCATCACTCCACGTCATCATCTCTGCCTCTATCTCGGGCCTCGCTGCTTCTCTGGGTAGGGTCCCACTCTCGGCTCTTCCTGGACCAAGTGATTTTTACCTGTTTGTATTTTTATTGAGAATATACTGCATTTATCAATTAACTTAGGAAAACTAAAACTTTATGTTGTTGAGTATTTCTATTTAAAAACTATATTTTTCATCTATGGTATGGTGCATTTACTTAATCTTCTAAGTCTTTGTAATTTCTTCTAATCATAGTCTTCATAATTTCCACGAAATGATTGAGTGGGACAATGCATTAGACTGGTTAGTTTTGCCATTCTTCTAGGTTTAAAAGGAGTGTGGTGTAATGAATTATTTACTGTCTCTTCTGGCCATAGTCTGTAACTCCCACCAAGTAACATTTCTTCCCTGCTGGGTCTGGGTAAGAGAAGGTGGGAGAAGATACTGATAGGATGACATGATTCCGCTGTGGAAGTTAGCAGAGTTTATTGTAATTGTAAAAACTTGAAACTTTAGCATGGGTTAAATTTCGGAAGCTGGAGGGGGCAATCTCACTAACATCAAAGAAGAGCTAGGAAGGGAACACATCCTTTGGACCTTGAGATCCCTGCACATTGAAACTCTTCAACCCGGGGACTGAAACCTTTGTCACCAGACAAATGGCAGAGGAGCAGAAGCAGCAGAACTAAGAACCAGAGCACAAAACAGAGCAAGTAAAGCTGAGTGACTTTGGGCAGAAGGCTTGTTTGCCGAGTGGGCTTAAGTGGCACTTAAGTGGAGGAGCTAGATTTGCTGATCCATGGAGCTAGACCTAGTGCCTTCAGGTGTAGTGGTGTATCCTGTGGGCATTTATCAGCAGCTGACTGAAACAACTGTGCCTGAGCGGTTTTGATCCAGTATTGTAACCTGTTAATGTCCCTAATAAACCCCGTAACTGTAAGTATGGTGTCTTGAGTTATGTGTGGCTGGTGCAACAGATTATTGAACCCAGCAGAGCAGTACAGTGCTGTGAGATGGATGGTTGATGTCAGAATAAGATAAAGAAGGTTAGGAGGATGAAGGCATGTCTGACCTCCATCTGAGAATTGGCTGTGGACTGTGGTTTAATTCTCCTTTCCCTTTGTGAAGCTGGAGGTGGTCAGACACCATCTCCAAGCCATTTGAATACTATCTGTTTGTACTATCCCATAGTGCCTTATCATTTTTCTCATTTGTGCATATATAGTAAATGTACAAAAAGACAAGCAGGATCTCCTTCAGTGTAGTTGGTACCTCTTGGAAGAGAAAGGGGGTAGAAATATAATAGGGTCTTTATCTCTATTTAAATTGCTTTAAATACATCAAAATGCTATTTTTTATTTCATCTAGTTGGTGGATACATGGGTTTTCCCTACTATAACTATTTTTCTATATATTTGAAATATTTTACAATGAAATAATTAAAAACAAATTTGGAAGTTATATAAATCTTTAATAGAAAAAAATCTATTGTAAATACAGTGACTCTTTTCATAGTACAGCAGTGCATTCAGGTAAACCAAATAACCATAATTTTTTGATATAAAGCTATACTTTATACTATCTTTTCTGTTGTTATTTATTTTTTTTTACACACATAGTACAATTTCCAGTGTGAAGAAATTTCAATGACAAAAATATTAATTTGCAATAAATATATCATCCACAAGTTCACAGGCCTAATCACTATGCATATATTCATACATGGTGGAGCAGTTCCTAAAGAAGGAAGTTACCCTTTATTGCCAAGTTGCCAGTCCAAAACATGAATAACAAAATGATAAAGCTGTGAGCTTTAAGGTCATGGTTTCATGGGCCATCTCAGTTAATTGGCTCAGGATGTGTACAGTGCTTCTCTTCTGCCTTCTAGTTTACTTGTAAGTAACCATCCAAGGCACAACAATTGTTCTCTATTCACCTAGAACAACAGAGGGAGAAGAGGAATCAGGACTAGGAGGAGGAGATGGAATGTATGACGTATTGCCACTATGACAACAGCTTCCTTTGCCATGAGACCAGATGCCTGGGTACCATTACTGAACATTTTGATCAAAGATTCCATAAAAAATCCTGATCAAAAGGGGAAAAATGCAGAACAGAATTTCAAATGAACTCTAGAATTTCTGGAGTCCTGGAGTGTAGATGAACCCCTGAAACTATTATCTCGAGATCATCTTTAAACCTTAACCCAAAACTATTACCTTTAGTATCCTAAAACCAAACAATGTTAAGTGCTGTTGAGTCGGTGCTGACCCATAGTGACCCTGTATAGGGTTTCCTATACAGGGTGAGCTTGAAATCCTGATTTTGCAGTCCAGTGCATTAACCCTCCCTACCACACCAGGACTCCAAAACCAAAAAATAGTTTAGCTTAACTAGTGAAAACTATCTGCCTTGAGTATTATGATCTTTTAAGAACTATCTATATGGGATCAAACTGACAACAACAACTCAGAAGATTAGATAGGAACATTAGGGTTCCATTTACATACTGTCTGTGATGGCTTTTGTTAATGAGGAAGGAACAATTCAGGAAAGGAGGGTGACAATGGTTGCACAACCGGAAGAATGATCAATGTCAATGACACCTGTAGGAACTGTTGAATTGGTGCATGCTTTGCTGTGTGTATCCTCAACAACAAAATAAATAGAATTTAAGTTTAAAAACAGACAAACAAACCCAAAAGTCAGTAAAGGAAAACCATGAGCCCTAATTCTGCATTTTAACCCTTGTTGTCATAGTCAAAAGGACAATATTGGAATTAAGTTTATTTTAACCCATTTTCTCTTTCAGTCTTGGCTTAGTGGCAAAATTGGGAATTTTATAAAAATGTGGCTTGTCCAGTATGTGTATTTCTCTAGCATCATGCACAGATATTTGTTAGGTGTTTCTGGAATGGGCCAAGAGTCACAATCATCATATTCTTGAGAATGCATGGCCAATGAACCAAAGGAAGTTATGACATCACAGTAGTTTCACTTTAAAAGAAGTTCTTTTCAGAAAAAATTACAGGAAAATAAGCAGTCTTCAAACAGACAGAGATGCTGGAGCAATCTTAATGATTAATTTGTTGAGAGCTCTGTTTTTTTCTTCCAAGATGAGATTGTTTTTCTCAGTCTCTCTTTGCTTCTCTTCAGTGACCTGCAGGTCTCTCATCAGGTGTGCATTCTCCACATAAAGCTCCTTGAGCAGCAAACTGGACTTTGTATTTTTTTCACACTAGAGAAGGAAGAGAGGCACACTTTACTGCGGGTCTAATGTAGGAATGTTAGCCCTCCTCCTTCTATCCTTCCACATTTGTTGAAATCATAATTTTAAGTTTTTAAGGAATTAACACAAGTATTATATCTAATGACAACTCTTGTTACCCTGAAGTGAGGCAAAATATTAAGAATGTGATGAACTGTAGTGGAGACAATTTAATGGAAATTATAAGAATAATTTTAACATAAGATGGTGACCTTTTCAACAGTCCTTAGACTGTAAAACAATGAAATTGCCAAGATTGCCAACGTTTGGTTCATTTCAGCATGCTTTATTGCCCTATTTATCTCCCAGGGCTCACTGTGCCACTGACCCCTACCACTGTTGCCTGGAGTGTGAGCTGGATGCCATACACACACAATCTTGCAGATGAGAGTGAGTAGAATGACTAACCTTGGCAAAAGCCTCATTTAAAATACAAAGGTATGGGGATCCCATCAAAACCAAATTCACTTGTTGGACATTTGATCACTAAATGTTCCTATATGCCGTGCCCTGCCTCTGTGCTGTGCAGCACATATTTTAACAGCTAGAGATCAGTAAGAAGCAAACATAGTATGGCAAGTAGGAGAAGTGCTAAGAAAAGAAAACCAAGCAGGAGACAGCAGAAGGGCTGCTATACTGGTTGGGGGAACTGTGGTGGTTAATGTGATGTATCAACAGTTGTTTGGTAGGTGCTCTTTGATAGTGTGGACTTCTGGTGTAGCTCTACAGGATCAGCACTGGACTGTGAACCACAATGTTGGCAGTTCAAACCACCAACTGCTCCCTGGAAACCCTATACAGGGTCCCTACGAGTTGGAACCGACTCAACAACACGTAACAACTTTAATAATGTAATTATATTCCATTTTGTGCTCTGATGAAAAGGACAATTGCCTTGAGGTTTGGTTTCCTTTCATTATATAAGTGAATGTGTTAGCAAAGCTTGCTCTCTCTTTTGACCCTGCAGTATTGTTCCTTGACCTTTAGTTCTTATAAGCCTGAAGAAGTCTCCAGCCTACCACTTGACATGGAGATTTTGGAATCACAGGTCTTGCAGTTCTATGAGTCAGAAGAAGTCTCCAGCTTGCCACACAAATTTGGGACTTGCCAGCCCCACAACTGTGTGAGTCCTTTCCATCTCTCTCTGTATTTACAAATACGTTTGACTAATTTGTTCCTCCAGAAACTCCAGACTACGATATTTGGTACCAACAGTGATTATAGAGTTTATGGAGCAAGCAGAAAGTAGCTGGAGCTCAGTGGCAGCAACTGGGTCCTGAGGTCTCCTGTGGAACAACTGACTTGAACTGCTGCGTCTTTTTTCTGAGGGAGTCACAACAAAGATGTGGCATACTGGATTTGAAAGCTATAACAGTTTCTCCAATGGTGGCATCAGTGGCTACACACAGTCAGAGGTGGCCTATATTAAATGCAACTGAAATGCCAGAACTGCCTTGGTGTACTGTAGAAGGTATCCAAAAGCTTTAAGAAATTGGAACATTAGCATAGACTTACCATGTTGGACCCACCTACATACTCGGGGAGTGCCAAAAGGACACACCTTTTACTCACCACAGCTGTGAGAAGTGAATTTGTGAAGGGAGCCTCTGAATCCTTGAAGACCACTGTGACTGTTCTTCTATGTAGGTCAGATATTACAGGGAAACTTTCCTCACTGAACCAGAAAATCTAACTGTAATGTGGATGATTGGATCTTGGATGGCAGGAGCCAAGTGGCAATAATCACAAAGACAAGATGGGCATGGTTGTCGAAATGGACAGTAGAGTCAAAGCAATAGAAAAATTTGACTCACATGGACTTATGGTTTTGGCTAATTAGGCCTGGATGAGAAACCTACTAAATATTTGTTTTATCTGTACAAGCAAAAGAATTTAAGGTCCAGTGAATGACAGTCTAATCTCAATCATCAAAATAGAGGCACAGTCCCTAAATCAATTCCCAGATTTAAGCCAGTTTACAGTCTCACAACCCATTGAATGAAGGGGAGGCCAGGTCCTCTTGATGAAGAACCCAACTATACTCCCAAAATTTATGCAGCAAAATTATTATACACAATCTTTCTCTCAGGTTTTCCCAAAGGGCACAATAACCTTTTACAAGGGTGACTGTTCACTGAGGAAAAGGAAACAAATCAGACTTGAAGGGGACTATTGAACACTGGCTCTAAACTGGTAACAATTCCAGGAGCCCCAAAATGTCACTGTGGCCCAAGAGTCAGAGTAGAGACATATGGAAGTCAGGTTAATAATAAAGTCTTATCTCAGGTCCAACTCAGTGGGTTCAGAGAGTCCCTGCAACCATCCTGTAATAATTTCTCCAGTTCCATAATGTCTAATTAGAACACAAATATTCAGCAATTGGAAGAACCCCCACATTGGATCCGTAGCATGTGGAGTAAGGTGAGATGATACAACCTTGCTTGCTGAAAGTGAAGAGGAGTTGAAATACTTGGTATGGGTTGCACCTCAATATAAAGAAAACAAAAGTCTTCATCACTGGACCAATAAACATCCACATAAATGGAGAAAAGATTGAAGTTGTCAAAGACTTTGTTTTGCTTGGATCAACCATCAACACTCGTGGAAGCAGTATTCAAGAAATCAAATGACGTATTGCATCAGGCAAATCTGCTGCATAAGACCTCTTTATATTGTTGAGAGCAAAGATGTCATCTTGAGAACTAAGGTGCACCTGACCCAAGCAATGGTATTTTCAATAACCTTATAAGGAGCTCTGGTAGCATAGTGGTTACAAATTGGGCTGCTAACCTCAGGGTCAGCAGTTCGAAACTACCAGATGTTCCGTGGGAGAAAGATGAGGCTTTCTGCTCCCGTAAAGATTTACAGCCTCGGAAACCCTGTACAGGATCACTATCAGTTTGAACCGACTCCACGACACATAACAACAACATATTGAATAAGGATGAATAAGGAAGATCGTAGAAGAGTTTGAGTTATGGTGCTGGGGGAGAATATTAAAGGTATCATGAACTGCTAAAAGAACCAACAAATCTGTGTTGCATGAAGTATAGTCAGAATGATCCTTGGAAGCCAGGGTGGCCATACTTTGGACACATTATCAGGAAGGACCAGTATGTTTGGTAAGGTGGAGAGTTGGAGAAAAAGAGGAAGACTCCCAACAAAGTGCATGGGCACAGTGGCAGCAGCAATTGGCTCAGGTGTAGCAATGATTGTGAGGATGGCACAGGACCAGGCTGTGTTTTGCTCTGTTGTGCATAGGGTTGCTATGAGTCAGTACTGACTTGATGGCACCTAATAACATCACCCATTTTGAATTCATTTGCTTGTGTGACACAAAAGCTGGATTACCACTCTCTCCCATTATCTGTCAATTCCACTATGCCATAATTTTTTTGAAGGTCTCTTACATACCTTCGCTTTCCAACCTCAGAGATATACCAGCTCTTTAGCTCTATATCATAATTTAGTCCACAGGGAACCTAGTAACCTTTCCTCTCCACAAAGTATCACACTTGCTCATTACATTGATGACATTATGCTGATTGGAACGAAAAAGGAAGAAATTTCAACAACTCTAAAATTATTGTTAAGATATTTGCATGTAAGAAGGTGAGAAATTAACTCAACAAAAATTCAAAAGCCTTTCATCCTCACTGAAATTTCTAGGGATCCAGTGGTGCTTTGAAATATTCTTTTTAAGTTGAATGAGTTGTTGCATCTGTCCCCTCCTACAACTAAAAAAAGAGGCATAATAATGCATGCTGAGCCATTGGATTTTAGAGGCATTGTATCCTTCATTTGGATGTGCTACTCTTGCATACTGACAAAGTGATTTAAAAAGCTACTAGTTTTGAGTAGGGCCCAGAACAAAAGAAGGCTCTGCAACAGGGCCAGACTGCCATGCAAGCTGCTCTACCACTTGGACCATATGATCTGGTGGATCCAGTGATGCTTAAAGTGTTGATGAAAGATAATCTTTGGCAGGCGCCTATTGATGAATCACAGCACAGACCCTTAGGATATTGGAGTAGAACGCTGCCACCCTCTGTGGTATCTTGAATTTACTTCATATGGCTTTTCTATTTAAAAGAAATTTTCTTAATTTCCACCAAGTGATTGGGTGGGACTATGCAAATAAGGTATACAGGACTCTAAGACTGAGATTGGTTAGTTTTGCCATCCTACTAGGTTTCCAAGGAGCCATCTTAGAAAGAGGAACAGACAATCCCAGGACCTTCCAGAAAGACAAGCATGACTGGAATGTGAGATCCCTACCTAGAAAAGCAGTGATAACAGAGGGAGTGGTGTGGAGAGACAGAGCAGCTGTAGACTTCAAAGCCCATGGACTGAGTAAAGCTGAGTGACTAGCTTTGGGTATTTACAGACTGGCTGAAAGAGCTTGGTAACAACACTTGCCCAAGCAGGGCAGAGACCCTGGGGCCACATGACTGAGAGGTCAAAGACAAGAGTGAAGTGTGCCTGCAGTATGGCAGACAAGAAGCGTTCCTGACTGGAGAACTGTTGTATACTGAGCTGTTTCTGATGCTGAATTGTACCCTGGTTCACTTTCCTAATAAACCCTATAATTGTGATTATTATTTTAAGTTCAATGTGGCCATTGCAATGGATTATTGAACCCAGATGTGAAGCAACGAGTGCTGTGGGAAGGAATGGTTGGTGTTAGAATAGGGTAAAGAAGTTTGTAGGGAGGAGGCATGTCTGAACACTTCATGGGAATTGGCATTGGACTGATTATGTGTTTAATTCGCCTTTCCTCTTGTGAAGCCAGAGGAAATCAGACATAGTCCCCACATGGTTTTTACACTCTCTGCAGATAACTGTTCTCCTTTTGAAAAACAGCTATGGCTTATTACTGGTCTTAGTAGTAAGACTGAATGCTTAATCATGGGCAATGAAATTTCCATGTAGACTGAAATAGCCATCAGAAACTGGGTATTTTCTAACCCACAGAGACATAAAGATGAATGTGCACAGCAGCACTCTATTATCAAATGGAAGTGGAATATATGAAATTGGCCTTTGAGGATGTCCTTAAGGTACAAGTAATTTGTATGAGTAAGTGGCCCAAATGCTCAGTCTCCACTCTTGTCACATAACTATCTTTCCCAGTCTGTACTCATGGGGGATTTCTTATGATCAGCTGAGTGAGGAAGAGAAAGTTCATGTCTGGTTTATGGATGGTTGTGAGCAGCGATATGCAAGAACCACCTGAAAGCCCCTTTCTGCATCCTCCCTGATGGACAGTAGTGAAGGGAAATCCAATCAGTGGACAGAACTTTCAGCAGTACACCTAGCTGTTCATTTTGCTTGGATGGAGAAATGGCTAGATGTGCTATTCAAAGCTGATTCATGAGCTGTGATCAACTGTTTGGATGGATGGTCAAGGACTTAGAAGGAACATGATTGGAAAATTGGTACCAAGGAGGTATGAGGAAGAGGTATGTGAATACACTTCTCTCAGCTGATCAACAAAGAAGATACCTGTGCCTTATTTGAATGCTCAACAAAGGATGATTTCAGCAGAGAAAGATCTGAACAATCAGTTGAATAGAATGGCACATTTTGTGGATACCAGTCAGCCTCTTTTTCTTAGCTACTCGTCATTGCCTAAGGGGCTTATAAATAACCATGGTGGCAAGTATGGAGGTTACACATGGGAACAGCAACCTGGACTTTCATTCACCAAGGCCATCTTGTCTATGATTACTTCTGAGTGCCAGATCTACCAAACGCAAAGACCAACACGAAATCCATGATATGGTACCATTCTTCAGGATGGTTAGCCAGCAACCTGGTGATAGGTTGATTACAATGGATGGCTTCCGTTATGGAAAGACCAATGTTTTATTCTTACTTGGATAGACCCTTACTCAGTATATAGAATGCCTTCCCTACTTGCAATGCCTCTGCTAAAACTACCATCTCATCTCTCATCTTACAAAATGCCTTATCCATCTTCATGATATCCCACATAGAATTGCCTCAGATCAAGAAACTCATATCATAGCAAATAAATTGCAACAATGGGCTGTGTTCATGGAATTCAATGGTCTTACCATGTTCCCCATGCTTTGTGATTAAAGTCAAGAGAAAACTATAGCAATCCAATTATGACATGACTACTAATGGCCTAAACCCTTTAGGAATGAAGGTTTGTGTCACTCCACCAGGTAAAAAAAGAATAAGATATTACCAGATGAGGTGCTTGCTGAGGGCAAATGGAATAGGAAACAGAGAGTTAAAGGAGGTAGAATTCTAAATACCATTTATGACCACATGACCAATAGTAGAAATGAAGACTACACTTTTTATGAGTATTTCTCCCCTGTTTTGTTGTATTCATATGTGTATGTGTATATGAAATTTCTTTGTTTTCTTCCCTTTCTTATCCGATTACTTATTATGAAATATAAGACATAAAAGGCACTAGTCCATTTTCAGATTTATGCTTGCTAGTTATGTTAGCCAGAAGTATGATTTATTGTTTTATTTATTTGAGGATTATGTCTGATTTAAGGAGATATGTATATATGCCAAGTTGTCAAGGGATGGATGGTGATTTAATGCTGTGTGTCAACTTGGTTAGGCTGATTCGCAGTGTTTTGGCAGGTGCTCTTCTACAATGTAAAATCACCTTCCTTTTTGTGATTTGATGTGAGCAGCCAGTAAGTTGGAAAGGGGTCTTGGGTTGTGGCCTGCTTCTAGTATATCAATGGATCTTATGGCAAAGCACTCTTCTGTTTTGTTACTTTGGATGATTTTTTAAAATTTGCATTTCATATATTATCCAGTTTCACATTCTCACTGGGTCTACAATTAACAATACAGAGTCTCCTAAGTGAAGACATTGAGACAGTCCCAGCTGCAGCTGAAGGGAAGCACTGGTAAGCTCACAGAACAAAAGAAACTTGCATAATTTTTCCTACATTTCACTTTTCTTAAAGTAACACCTGACTGATAAAAACCCCTCATTCCTGTAGAACACAGAAATCCTTTTCTTCATGCTTCAAACTAAACATTAAACTCATCTGATAGGACGAACAAGGTCTCTTTAATAATGAATTGCACACACACACACACACACACACCAAAACAACAACAAAAAATTCCTTTATAATGTATAAATATTTTGTTTCACTTTTTGGTTGTTTGGAAATTTGGAAAGAATAAGGACTAGTGAAGAGGAGGGGTGTGCTGTGGTGAGGTAAAGCAACAGAGCAGCAAGGAGTTTTGGATAGTTGTTGGCCCATATGAGAAGGAACTGGAGGGCCCGGATTTGGAAAAGTAAACACAATATATTTGCTGGGTTTTCGCTGTAGCTGTTTCAGCCTGTAAGTGTGTGCGGGGTGGGGCCATCAGGGCTTAACTGGCTGCAGAACTGAGTCCTCACTGGGTGAAGGGTGTGGGGAGAGGACAGAAGTGGCCAGGAGCTGTCGCTATGGTGCCATCAATGTAAGAACAAACTGTACACCCAAATATACATTAAGTTTAAGTGTCTTAAACTTTAAGCGTCAGGCCAGAAAACATGCAAAATGAGATGCCTCATTTCCTTGAAGTGGAGCTACCTAACAAGATTAGCAGGAGGTTGGCTCTTGCTTGGTCCCAGCAAGTCCTGAAAGGGGAGGGAGTGGTCTGAGGGTCCTAGCAAGAAGGTCCCTGAATCTTCCCATGAGGGCTTGGAGAAAAGCTTTGGGGAAGGGACAGGGTTAAGAAAGAGGAGAGACAGGAAATAGGCAGAAGTCTACTGAGTCAGGTTAAAATACACAGTCTTTTCACTTTACTTCTTGGCCCTGCATTCTTTTCATTACCTGGTCTATAATTCTTGTGATATACACCTGCAGAACTCTTCAGCCTGCCACCTGACTTGCAGATCTTGAATTCATCAGTCCCTACTATCCTATAAGCCTGCAGCAAGACCCATGGATTCGGGACTTTCAACCCCCCACAAATGTGTAAGGCATTGTCATGAACTAAATAAAATCTCTCTTTATACATATATAGAGCAAGAGAGTGGCTCATGAGGCTCTCAGTACAAACTCTCCAGGTAGTAGGAAGAGAAAGTGCAAAAGCCTTGAGGCTAGTGTGTGCCCGGAAGTGACTGGGTAGTAGCAGGCAGCCACTGGTGCTAGGGGGGTGTGATCTTGGCTTTCCCTAGACATAGAGGTAGTCAGAGCAGAATCTAGCAGAATATTAAAGACAATTGTGAAAAGGCTGGCTTTTACTGTGAGGGAGATGGGAAGGTAACATAGAGTCTAAGCTGAGAAGAGATAGGACATCAATTGTGCTTTGGAAATATGCTACAATTGTTGTGCTGAGCATAGATCAGGGTAGAAGTGTAAGGGTGGAAACAGGGAAACCTGAGAGATGGAAACAGATGAGGAGACTTAGACCATGATGAGAACAGTGCGGAGCAAGTGCTTGGAGCCTGTATATATTTTGAAGGCCAAGCTGCTGCAATCGGTGGACCTAGGGAGAGAGGAGTTACAGTGACTGAGCCACTGAACAGAAAAGGAAGGGGAGGCAGGTAGGACTGTGAGCCCAGACAACCATAGAAAAGGTGTTTATGTAGAGAAAAAGGCAGTCATTGGATCAGAGAAGGGAGTTCTTTAAAGTGGGGAAAAGAAGCACAGGTTAGCATTACTGATGGCTCTGACGATTCCGGGTTAGAGAAGGATACAGAGTAAGGAAGGAAAAAGAAAGAGGGAGGGAAAAGGAGAGACCGGAGGAGGAGGAGAAAGGACAAGAAGAAGAGGAATAGTAGAGCTGTGACAGGCATGGTGTCTGGTGTTCAGCAGAGGGACACTTTTTACAGAGGCAAAGATCGCTTGCCCACAGCTACAAGTAGGGAAGTATAAATATATGGGTGCCTTTTTATGTCTGTCTAATGGCTATGGGTCGGAACCAACTCGATGGCACTTAACAACAACAACAAACAATGGTTAGGGGATGCTACTGGCATTTAGCACCTGGTGGGCAGGAGTGCCAAATTTCCTACCAGGCACAGTACAGTCTACCTTCCCAAAATGCCAGCCTGGCTCTGCTTGAGAGATAGTCTGCTCAGATCCTCATTTCTGTTGAGTGGTCTTCCCTATCATCCAGACTCTCCAGTCCAGGAAAGTGTGCTTTCTAAGTGTTCTTCCACAGTCTTATTATCAGCTGTTTTCATTTCTAGAATGTAAGTTCCATGAGGGTTTATCTCAGGTCCACCTAGAACAATGCCCTGACACACAGGTGTTCAGTAAGCATTTGCTGAGCGATTGACTAATGAATAAGTAGCTTTCCTGAGATTATGTGAAAGCCTCAAAAAATAAATCTTAAAGCAATTCCTATAAGAAAATAAGCGCAACACACAAATATTATATAAGATATATACTTAGTAAAATCAGCTCTTCTATCAATTGCTTTTCATTACGAGCCTTGTGAAAAAACACTTTATATTCAAATATGAAGTTTAGTCAGAGCCCCAGATTCCTAATGACCATGAAATCCCTGAGCATGTGACAAGACGGTCTCCTCCTAAACCAAATGTGTGAACATCCATGAGGGAGAACTTTGCAAAAGGATGATGTTTGTGTGGAAATGACAGGAGCCCATCACTCACCTGGTCCTTCAACTCATCGACTTTTTCTTGTAGGAGCATTTTCATATTCGCCAAGATCATTTCCACCTCTTCCACCTGATCTTCTATAGCCTTAAGCTGATCCTCAAATACTTCCTGCTACAAAAGGTTGCTGATGAATAAATTGCTTTAAAAGACATCACTTCAATATACATTTAAAAGGCATTTGTGTACAGTGTCAAAGTCTGTGAGAGCTATTAGCTATGAAAGATGAGGCTGTCTCCATCAGGAGCCACAGGGATTGGTGCTTTGTATAGAAATCAGACAGTATGAAGCTAAATATAGGCTTACCATATCAAAATATCAGCAATTAGACAAGTATATTCAACAATGAATTGGTGGTGGTGCTTATGTGCTGTGGAGATGTTTCCGACTCATAGCGACCCTGTAAAGGGTTTCCAAGGCTGTAAATCTTTATAGGTGCAAAAAGCCTCATCTTTCTCCTATGGAACTGCTGGGAGTTTCAAACTGCTGACCTTGAGGTTAGTAGTCTGACTTGTAATCACTACACTACCAGAGTTCCTTAACAATGAATCAGGCAAGGTTAAAGTAATAGAAGTGTAGGTTTCATAACACTGAAGTGTTACAACAACAAAAAAGAGAAACAAAAAAACCCTGGGAGGGTTCATGTTCTAGGTTTTCTTTAAACTCAGGAGTGGCAAAGGGCTGTACTTTGAAGCTGCCATGGTGGGGGCTAAGGAGCAGCCGCCTTGGTCCTCTCACCCTCTTGCCAACCACCACTGATGCTTCACACATGGCCTCACCACACACCAACTTTAGTTGACATTTGTGGTCTCAATGCTCAGTGATAAGTCTGGGTGCAGGAACCTTCAGCCCCACAGACCCACCTGTTGAAACCAAATAACTACCTGTTCTCCTGATTCACAAGAGTGGGATCATCAATGAAGGCTAGGCCAACTCCAGAGAACCAGGTCATATGAAAAGGGGAGGAAACGCTCAGAAACTGATGTACTTCGGACATGTTAATAGGAATGACCATTTCCTGTAGGACATTATGCTTGGTAAAGTAGAGGGTCAGTAAAAAAGATGGACACGCTCAACACTTAATGAGTGACACACTGGCTGCATCAATGGGCTCAGGGACAGCAATGATTGTGAACATAGTGCAGAACCAGGCAATGTTTCATTTGGTTGTACACAGGTTAAATATGAGTTGGATCCTAAAACACATATGGCACTTAACTATATCACCATTATGAACATTTTGATCTAAGATTCTGTAAAAGAATTCTGATCAAAAGGGAGAAATACATAACAGTTTAAAAAATTCATGGACTCCAGATTTTCTGGATGAACCTCTGGAACTATTGTCCTGAGATAATCCTTAAACATGAAAGCAAAAATACCCCCTGAAATCTTAAAACCAAACAAAAATTTAGCTTAACTAGTAAACAATGTCTGCTTTGGATATTGTACTCTTTTACTAACTCTCTTTATGGGATTAAATTGACAACAGTAACTCCAAAAATTAGATAGGACCCTTAGGGGGCAATGAATTTATATTAATAAGGGAGTATTCAAATGAGAATGTTACAAAATTAAAGAATGTAATCAATGTACTAGATTCTGCATGTAGAGACTGTTGAAGTGGTGAATGTTTTGTTGTATATTCTCAACAACACAGAGAAATAAAATTTAAAAACAAAACCAAGGTTCATCCATGTTATGCGGTGGCTTGCGGCTTCTTTGTTATGCTTCAAGGTAGCATAATATTCCATTGTGTGTTTGTTTATCCATTCTTCCCTTGAGGGGCACTTAGGCTGTCTTCATCTTTTTGCTATTGTAAATAGTGCTGCTATGAACATTGGTATGCATATATATATCTACTTGTGTTATGGCTCATATTTCTTGTGGATAAATACCAAGTAGAGGAATTGCTGGATCATAAGGTATTTCTATTTCCAATTTTCTGAGGAAGTGCCATACTGTTTTCCAGAAAGGTTGGACCATTTTGCAATCCCATCCAGCAATGTAGGAGGTTCCCAGTCTCTCCACATCCTCACCAGCATTTACTGTCCTCTACTTTTTTTTAACTTAACTGTTCCATCTTCTTTTGATGCATTCTGCATCATTCAATATGCTGCCTATGGAATCCCTTGATATTGCAAGTTGAAGCTTGAATTTTTTTCCTTCAGTTCCTTCAGCTTGAATATTATGCGTTATACACATACGTATATTTCCTAGGTCTGTCTGCCACAAGGCACAATGAACACACTTGATTCCTAGATCCTGACTTCTAAATACCAGTCTTTACTAAGGAGCCAAGGGCTCCTCACAGTAATGGCTAGTTCCAGGGCTAAGTTAGAGAAAGTATTAAGTAAGCCTGAAACATCTTGTGGTCCCTGAAATTAAGGGAGTGTTCCAAGAAAAAGCAGGACATATCCAAAGCACACAGAAACCAGGCTCCCATTGACTAAACAAAGACAACTTGAGGATTTCATGATGGTAATATATAATAACAACTCAATGAATAAAATAGGAGTTGATGATAGTAATAAAACAACACATAAATGAATAAATGGGGGGGAATACTCTTTCTTACAGTAGAGTACCAATTTATAAATGTAAAAAAAATGATGGGATTAGATTGGCAACCACCACAGTAGTAATTTATTCAAGCAAAAAGCAAAGGATCAAAGTTAATGGGTTTTTGATGGGTAATGGGATATTTACATGGTCCCAAAGTATCTCCCCCCAGCACTCCTCATCTGTCAGTTTGTTGTGCTGTGGTGGTTTGTGTGTTGCTGTGATGCTGGAACTATGCCATGATTTTTAAAATACCAGCAGGGTCTCTCATGGAAGACAGATTTCAGTGGAGCTTCTTGACAAAGATGCACTAGGAAAGAGGACAGGCAGACTAATTCTGAACAAGAAACTGACAAATAGCAACAGAACACTATGTAAGACATAGTGCTGGAAGATGAGACCTTCAGGTTGGAAGACACTTAAAATATAAAAGCAGAAAAGCTGCCTTCTCAAACAGAGTTGAACATGATGACACGAATGGAGGAAAGTGTTCAGGACCTTCATTTGATGATGGGACAAACTCAAAATGAGGGGAAACAGCTGCAAACATCCACTAATAGAACATCAAATTTATGAAGTATGAATCTAGGTAAATTGCAAGTTGTCAAAAAATGAAATGCAACACATAAAGATCAATATCCTAGGAATTAGTGAGCTGAAATGCACAGATAATGACCATTTTGAAGCTAACAATCATATACTTTTGTTGTTGTTGTTGTTAGGTGCCATCGAGTCAGTACCGACTCATAGCGACCTTATGCACAGCAGAACAAAACATTGCCCAATCCTGGGCCAACCTCACTACTTTTGCCATGCTTGAGTCCATTGATGCTGCCACTTGGTCAATCCATCTCGTTGGGGGTCTTCCTCTTTATATTTTACTACGCCGGCAATGAAAAATTCTAGAGGAATGGTGTCACATTTATCATCAAAAGGAGTATTCCAAGATCTCTCCTGAAATACAATGCTGTTTGTGATACATATGCCTATAAGGAAGACAAGTTAATACCACTATTATTCAAATTTATGTACCAACAACTACATATAGCCAGTGATGATGAAATAGAAGAATTCTACCAACTTCTTCATTCTGAAATTGATTAAACATGCAGTCAGGATACATTGACCTTGAACATATCCTGCCTGAATTTAGAGACCATCTGAAGGGCAGATTTGATGCATTAAACACTAATGATCAAAGACCAGAAGAACTGTGGAACAAACATCATACAGGAAGAAAGCAAAAAGTCATTAAAAAGATACGACAGAAAGTAAAGACCACAATGGGTGTCAGAAGAGACTCTTAAACTTGCTTTCCAGTGTAGCAATTCGAAAGCAAATGGAAGAAATAAGGAAGAAAAAGAGCTGAACAGAAACAAAGAGTAGTTTGAGAAGACAAAGTATCATAACGAAAAGTGCAAAGACCTGGAGCCAGGAGATCAAACTTCATACTCAGAACTTCACAAGCTGAAAGGACGGAAGAAAAAAATTCAATTCTTGGCTTGCAGTGCTGAAGGATTCTAAGGGTAAAATATTGAATAATACAGAAAGCATAAAAAAGATGAAAGTTCTAGAGTTATTGTACTAAAAAGAAATGGTCGATGCACAACCATCTCAAGAGGTGGCATGTGATGAGGCATTGATGGTACTGAAGGAAGAAGTCCACACTGTACTAAAGGCATTGGTGAAAAACAAGGCTCCAGGAATTGGTGGAATACAACCTGAAATCTTTCAACGAATTGATGAAGCACTGGAGGCACTCATTCACCTATGCCAAGAAATTTAGAAGACAGTTACCTGGCCAACAGATCAGAAAAGAGCCATATCTGTGCTCATTCCAAAGGGAAGTGACCCAACAGAATGCAGAAATCATCAAACAGTATTATTAATATCACATGAAAGTAAAATTTTGCTGAATATAGTTAAAAAACAGCTGCGACAGTGAATTGCCAGAAATTTAAGTAGGATTCAAAAGAGGATGTGAAACAAGGAATAGCACTGCTGATGTCAGATAGATCTTGTCTGAAAGCAGAGAATACCAGAGGCAGTCATTCAAACAGAATAAGGGGTACTCAATGGTTTAAAACAGGAAAAATGTTCACCAGGGTTGTGATTTTTCACCGTATGTATTCAATCTGTATGCTGAGCAAATAATTCAAGGATCTGGATTATATGAAGAAAAACATGGCATCAGGATTGAAGGAAGACTCATTAACAACATGCATTATGCAGATAATAAAACCTTGCTTGCTGAAAGCAAAGAAGATTTAAAATACTTACTGATGAAGATTAAAGACTATAGCCTTCAGTATGGGTTGTAAGTCTATATAAAGAAAACAAAAATCTTCACCACTGGACCAATAAATAACATGATAAATGGAGAAAAGACTAAAGTTATCAAAGACTTCATTTTGCTTGGATCCTCAATCAACACTCATGGAAGCAGCAGTCAAGAAATCAAATGATGTATTGCATTAGGCAAATCTGCTGTACATCTTTAAGTGTTCAAGAGCAAAGATATCAGTTTGAGAACTAAGGTGTGCCTGACCCAAGACATGGTATTTTCAATATCCTCACAAGCATGGGATTGTTGGACAAAGAATGAGGAATTCAGGCATTTGAGTTGTGGTAATGGACAAGAATACTGAAAGTACCAGAATGCTCCTTAGAAAGAAGTATGAGATTTAACTCTCCTACTTCAGACATGTCAGCAGGGACTAGTCCCTGGAAAAGGGCATCATGCTTGGTAAAGTGCAGGATCAGTGAAAAAGAGGAAGACCCCTAATGACATGGATTGACACAGTGGCAGCTGCAATTGGCTCAAGCAGAACAATTGTGAGGATGGCGTAAAACTAGGCAGTGTTTCGTTCCGATGTGGTAAGGTCACTATGAATTGTAACTGGGTCACAGGCACCTAACTATAGCCACAACAAAGTATCTACCCACAAAACACTGTGGAGAAAACTAGCCACTATCACTGTACTTAGGCAATCAAATAACTGGAAATAGGACAGATGATTGCACCCCTGGTAGGATTGTGCCCCTGTCAAAAATGCCTCATCTGAATCTAATCATGGAAAAACATCAGGCAAACCAAACTGAGAGACTTTCTACAAATACCACTGCTATCAAGTTGATTCCAACTCATAGTGACCGTGTGTAGGGTATCCGAAGTTGTAAATCTTTATGGGAGAAGAGAGCTCCATCTTCCTCCCATGCAATGGCTGGTGGGTTTCAACTGCAGGCCTTGTGGTTAGCAGTTCAGTGCTTATCCTTCAATGCCACTTGGGCTCCTTTTCTATAAAGTTATTGCATGTAATCTTCAAACATGTCAAGCTCCCCCAAATAAAGAATAGAATAATAAAAGGAGACTAAAAAGACACAATGCAAATGTCATCCATGATTCTGAGTATTATCAGGATGGCAATACCAAAATGGGGTCTAAAGACTGATGTACGTTATGTGTCCACGTTAATTTTCTGATTTTGGTGGTGGAGGTTGTTGATGGGGTGCAATGCATTCTGAAATCTTTCAGAAAAAAGTTCCACACTTTATTTCTGTAAGTGTTAAATTATTCTAAGCTTCACACCAGGTAGCAATACTGGACCTGTTTGTTGAACATTTTCATTTCAAAGCAGGCCTTGTTTTTCTCTTTCCTTAAAATATCAATTTCCTTCCTGTTGAAAGAGCAAAGTTAACAGTATCACTGCCCACTCAGGCTTCTCCCACATGCCCTGCTTTCCTATGGTACTGCTCTGTTCTCCTTTACACTATCACTGCTGCTGTGACCAGACAGTGAGTCCAAGCTTTCAGAACTAGAGGAAATTAGAAAGGTGACATTTTTTCCCAGGGCTTCAAATTGCTAACATAGTAACAAGATTCCCAGGTAATTCTTGTTGGTGTTGTTACATGCACTAAGTCAGTTCCAACTCATAGCAACCCTGCATAGGGTTTCTGCGGAGCAGTTGGTGAGGATGTCATTCTTACTGGGGTAAAAATGCAAATTCTCAGCAGGGGTTTGAATTGGAATGAACTGGTTCTAAGCTTGGATTTTTCAGATTTTTTAGAGGGGTAAGATGTCTTCAGAATCCTGGTGAGGCGCTGCAGGATAATTTGCTGGACTGCAAGATCAGTTTGAACCACAAGATCAGCAGTTCAAACTCACCAGCTGCTCCTCAGAAACCCTATACAGGGTCACTGTGAGTTGGAACCGACTTGACGCACTTAATAACAACAACAACAAGATGTTGCCAGTACTATAACAAAAGGAACATCCTCCATGACATTCCTCAAAAACTCAAATTATTGTTTTCTTAGGAAAGTATGTGAATAGTCACATCCAGTAACACAAATAGACTTGAACCACCTTACACCCATTAAGGTCTGTTGGGAAAGGGTTCTGGTAGCAAAGAGAAAATGGTTTCCATGGTTACTATGATTTCAGAACTGTTATAACAACAGTAATCACCTCTGGATCACTTACTCTACATTCTGTACTTCGGTCATCATGCCTATCAAGTCAACACTTCAGAGCCGAGCTCATGTTCAATCTCTTATTTTAAAAAGGCCAAACTGTCCTTAGATACGGCTGCAGTAGTGAAAGAATTCACAGATAGGTTGTTCCCCACTTTATCTCCACCCTTGCTCTAGCCTCAGTGCTCCAGGGCTCTTACCTCCCCCTGCAATACTGAAATCAATATACAGGAATGAACCTTGGAGAAAAGTCTAGCCACAACCATTACTGGGACATGAACAAATATATTCTACTTGCCTACACAGGTTCCAGGAGCACCTCTTGACTCTACAAAATGACTTCCTACTTGCTCCCCTCCCTTGGGTGTGATGTGGAGTATTTCTGTAGGGGTAGCAAAGTGCTGTATCTTGATTTCACAGGTAAATAGGATGAGTGTTGCCAGCTAGTTGCTAAATGTGGGGTGGGTGTGTGTGGGGGGGTGCTACCATGGTCATATGGCTCTTTGCCTACTTCTGAGATCAAAGTGCTCAGGTGCTGCCCACTGTTGGAGAGAGGCCATAGCCCTTTACATGCCTAGGTCAGAGGTCAACAAGGCTCAACCACTTGTGGTTTTCTGAAAGGTAAGATTGTAAGATACTATCTTTCTGAAAGGTAAGATAGTATCAATAACTTCTACGATCGTTCTACTGAGAGAAAAGAGAGCTCTTTCTGCTAAGAAGAAATGGGTCACAGGCCTGAAGTCAAGGTTGTAGAACCAAACAGGCCCTTACCTTTGTACATCATTTGTCCTTTCTGTAGCTTCAAGCTGTTGCTGAACCCTTTGCAGCTCATTTGTCAGCACCATGTTTTCTTCAGAAAGCCTCTGTAACTCAATTCTGCAAGCAAAATCGAAGAGAAAGTATGGTGGGACTCCCAGGAGCTGTCAGCAATATGCAGTTCATCTGTGTCTGGTCCTACAAAACAATTCTTCAGTGGACATTTCCACACTCTCAGGATGACACTGGGCACACTTTTCCTTTTGCCGTAACAAGGATCAACACATTCTGGGTTTTTTTCTCCCAAAAGCAAGCACCTTTGTTTTCATTTACTTTATGTTTACAAGTGACCTGTTTTAAGTCTTTTAACCTCCATGAGCAAGGTTAAGGATGATATCAATGTAAAATGTTGGATGTGAGACCTTAGTTCACTCTAAGGGATATTTGCTGCCAGTGAACTGCAGTGTGGGGCTTAGAACCACGAATGATCAGAGGACAAAATACATGGATACAAAATACAAAATACTGTCTTCAATACACATTCCACCCTCCTACGCTCCAAAGTCAGTACTAGAAGTAAAAACCTAGGAAGACACACATACAAATGCATGAAGAAACACATAATGCAAGGTGAATAGCTCACAAAGAAAAAACATGTGTGATCAACTTCTACATGAATGAAATTTGCCTGGAGTTACATTTGTTTCCTGACAAACAATTCTTACAGAATTAAGAACTTAGGTGCCATGGCAAGCACGTACCATCGATTTTTGACAGGTGAGTATTTTACCAACAGAGACTCCTAATGAGGCTGCTTAAAACTCATACTTACTGTCCTTAATACATGTGGATCTAGCTGATATTTATTTCCCCAAATAAGTCTCTGTGGCACCCTGTTTCCTTTCAGCTTTTCCAATCTCAAAGTACTCAAGGTTACATAATCATGTCATGCTTACTTTGTGTTTTATTTTTATAGTATCAAGCATAATTGCTCTGTCTGACTTCCTTTTATCTCATAAGGAACTAAGGAGAAAAATAGAAATCATGGGAATTTTAAAAGCAGCAAAAGGTTTAAAGCATAAATGTATTATGCATTTTGAAACTGTCACTCTGGCTCGCCTATGGAAAACAAACCAATTCAAGGCTTTTGTGTGTGTGTGGGGGGGGGGGGTTGGCTGGGGGAGGAATTCTACTTCTAGTTGCCTGGAGCCCAGATATGCTGAAGGTTGCCCACCCTTACCTGCCAAACAATCAAGACAGTGTGTGAAGCAACTATGAAATGTATAAATGCTCTTACAGAAGTCATGGAAACTTCCAAAGGCACCCCTGAAAACCCCAAAACTTGGAAGCTGAAGTCAAAGCTGTGAGCATTAGCAACACAAAGGTGAAGTTACTCTGAGGGATGCTATCGGCAGGATGAAGATGCTGCACTGCTGACTCAGCATTAGGCCAGTGCCTTGGAAGAAAGTTAGTCCTAGCTGGTAGCTCTCCATCTCTCTGTAAAGGCCATACCAATTCTCTCAAGAGAAAGGCATACCCTACTAAAGCTCCCAAGGACCCCTGCTAATCACAAGGTCCATAGTTGGAATCTACTAGTTGCTCCACAGGGAAGATGAGGATTTATGTTCCCATAAAGATTTAGAAACCCTAAAACAGGATGCCTATGAGTCAGAACCAATTCAGTGATATACAACCACCACCACAAAAGCTCCCAGGACTCCCAGAGATTAGCATTAAGCACACAAAAGCTCACAATCAAAGATCATCAAAACAAGACCCTCATTGTAGTCAATGGAAACAAAATTAGGCCTTCTAGGAACCACAGATATTAGAGTTATCAGCTACAAAATAAAATGTTATGATATATTTATGTATCTAAAAGATAGTTTCTTATTGTTTATTCATTTCTAATTTCTATCAAAAACTGATCAGAGGGGACCAAATAGAACCTATACAAATGAGAATAAGAAAAAGTCAATGTCATAATAAAAACTCACTGAATTAGATCAGGCAAAGCAAAAGAGTTAGTGACCTGGAATTAAAAAGTTAAAAAGAAATTACCAAGAAAGTGGCACAGAGAGAAACTGGAAAACATAAAATAAAAGTTGAGAGTTGGAAGAAAAAAAAAAAGGTGAAAAGATCTAACATCATACATAGGGAAGAAAAATAGGGAAGAAGAGGCTATATTTTTAGAATAATGGCTAGAGTTTTTCACAAGACAAAACTAACAATTCAATAGTCACAATGTTTTGTAAGTAGAATAAGTACAAAGAAAACCACACCCATACCCTAAACCCCAGAAAATCCATTGCTAGGTATGTACCAACATAATGTGTACATATATTGCCCCAAAAAACACAACAGACAAGAACTTTCATAACAGTTCTCTTTGTAATAGCCAAAACATAGAAACTATCACCATGCCTACCAACAAAGGAATAGAAAAATAAAGTGCAAATGAATGAACTATAGTTATAGGCAACAATATAGATGAATTTCACAAACATGCTGAGTCAAGGAAGTACTCACCGTAGGACTCCTTTATATAAAGTACAAAACCAGGCAAAGTTCATCTATGCTGCTAAAAGCCAGATTAGTGGCTACATCTGGTGGGGGGGGGGGGTCTATTTTTTTGTTCTGGGTGCTGGAAACACCATGTGCTCAATTCATTAACAAATTCTAGTTGTACACTTAATGTGTATTTTTCTTTTGCATATAACACTCAATTAAAAGTTTTTTTAAAAGGAAATAATACCTAAATAAACCAAAGTATCAGAGACAAAACTCAAATTACCTGCTGTGGTCGGTAGAATAATGACTTCCTAAAGATGTTCATTCTTAATTCCCCAAACTGTGAATATTATGGTACATGGCTAGGGGGAATTATAGTTGAAGACGAAATTAAGTCTACTAACCAGATGACCTTGAGATGGGGAGTTTATTGTGGATTATTCTAGTGAGCTCACTGTAACCAGGACAGTCCTGGTTAAGTCAAAGAGGCAGGCAGAAGAGTTAGAGTGATGTGGCATTAGAAAGGCTATTGAAGGCTTTTGAGATGGAGGTAGGGGTCACAAGCCAATGAGTGTGGGTGGTCTCTAGAAGTAAGAAAAGACAAGTGAATATATTTTCCATAGAGCCCCCAGAAAGGGATGTAGTCCTGTTGACCCTTTGATTTTAGCCCAATTTAGTTGAGTTCTAGCTAAAAAGCTTTTTGTTTTTTTGTTTTTTTAAAGTTAGCTAAATTTTGGCTAACTTCAGAACGCTAACCTCTAGAACTGTAAGATAATACATTTGTATTTTTTAAGCCATTCAGGGGCTTGGGTCCATGCTCTGCAATAGTGGGATAAAGCCTTTTTAGATGAAAAGCTTGGAGATGTAATCTCCAGCCTGAGTCTCTAGGTGAACCCAGGGGAGGAGAAGGCCAGCTCCACCTGTGGCCTCTTAGGACTCTGCCTAAACAACTGAAGTCTTCAAGACTCCCTCCCACCTCGGCTTTCCCCAGAAGCATCAGCCTTTGCAGCCAGTATCTTGAGTTTCCTAGCCTGGAGCCTTTGCAGAATACAAACAAAATGCAGAGTAGACAGTCCACCTCTGTGGCTGCAACTCTTTCACTGCAAGTCCCCTGGACCAAGGACACTACATGAGTGCAGTGTGATTAAATGATGGTGTGTGGGGTTAATATGCAGAGGGCTTCAAAGATGGAGCACCTAATGATGGTCTGTCTTGAGTTACATGAGACAAGACAAACTTCCTAGGAACAAAACTAGTGGATAGACCCAAGTCTGTGCCACAATAGTTTTTACTGGGGGAGATCAGAGGGATCTCTGTATGGAAAGTCTCCCTTTTACCACTCACTTGGCACCCAGGGATACTGTGGTCTGAGTCTAGTGTTGTTAAATGTGATTACTTAAGTTTAAACCAACTGACACTGAATTAAAACTCAATTTATTGGTCACATTGGCTACATTTAGCAGCCACATGTGGCTAATGGTTCATGCACTGGACACTTGAACAGAAGACATATCATCACAGAATGTGTATTGGGCAGTGTTGGCTTAAAGTTTTAGTGAGACAGATGAAATGCACCTGTAGTCAAAACTGCCTTAGGAAACACCTTAAATTTCTGGGAACAGGCCTTGAGAATTACCAGGAAAATAATACTGAAGCTGAGTGTGGCTCAGCTGAGAACAGTTAGCCTGAGTGGGTCAGAGCACTGTTGAATTCATCGAAGGTATACGATGTAGTTCTACTCCCAGTCATAGTGTGAGGGGGCCGCTGCCAGTCAGGTAGAGCAGCTTTTAGGGTCAGACCCAGATGACACGCCCTGCCCTTCTGCTGTCTCTTGGAGCCTGAGGGGACTTGGAAGTGGTGATAGTGGGTATAAGTGGTTTAGGAAGTGGTCAGACGCTTTAACACAGAGATCCTAGGTTTATGAGAAAATGAAGTCAAGCTCAGGGTGAGGCTCTTGATCATTCACAAGGGGACCACCATTACTATGGTCCCCAGGCCCAAGCCACTCTGGCAGCACCTAGGGGAAGGGAGGGTTGGAGAGGAGAGGGAGGCAGACTCAGGCTGCTAGTGGTCCAGGGCTTTTCCTCATCTCTCATACTCAAGCTATACCACAGAAGGAAGGGTAGACAGCCTCTGGGGACACTGAGCTCCCCAGGTCATAGTGCAGTCCTACACACAGAAGATGGCTCGGTCCTCTGTTGTCAATGTGGTGCCATGGCTACCACATTGGAACCCTGCCCACATTCCCAGCAAAAAGTCCTTCCTGAGTAGGCTGTACAGCCTCCTCAAAGTAGAGATGACCATGAAGACGTGAATAGAGTTAAGCTCGGGGGAGAAAAGCGCACAGAACCTTCATTTGCTGATGGGCCACAACTCAAAATGAAGAGAAACAGCTGTAAACATCCACTGAAAATCAGAACATGGAATGTACGAAGTATGAATCTGGGAAAATTGGAAGTTGTCAAAAATGAAATGGAACACATCAACATCGATGTCTTAGGCATTAGTGAGCTGAAATGGACTGGTATTGGCCATTTTGAATCTGACAACCACATGGTTTACTATGCAGGGAATGATAAATTGAAAAGGAATGGTGTTGTATTCATCGTCAAAAAGAATATATCCAGATCAGTCATGAGGTACAATGCTGTATGTGATAGGATAATATCCATGAGCCTACAGGGAAGCCCAGTTAATACCACTATTATTCAAATTTATGCACCAACCACTAAAGCCAATGAGGATGAAATAGAAGAGTTCTACCAACTTCTTCAATCTGAAATTGATCAAACATGTTATGTCTTGGAAAATTAGAATGTGACATTAAATGAGGAAGATACTTTGCTTCCTTTGTTTTGTTACAGGGAAGTGGAGGCAAAAGATAAATATTGAGTTAAGTCTACAAAGAAAATTGCTTCATGGCCTAAGGTTTACGACATATTTCTTATTTGGCGTGAAAACACCACTTAGTGAGCAAGCACTGTAGTTCTGAGTAAGTAGCATATTAAATTCAATTTTTAATTTTGGTTCCTGGAAAGAACTTCAGACATGAGGTCCCAGAAGGAAAGAGGCTAGCAGACCTTACTTGCTGTAGTTCATGTTGGTGTCTCAGGCATAGGTCCTCTTCCTGACGCTGAGCCAGGCCAACAAGGTCCTTGGTGAAGAAAGACCCTCTATCCCTCAGCTCTCTCTGCAGGCTGCAGATGACATCCTGAGACTGTGTGTGGAGCGCTTTCAGGTCCGCTTTCTGTCTCTCCAGCATGCTGACCTCACGCTTGAATACCTGCTCTGTTTCTCTTCGCTCCTTCTCAAAGTTATTTTTTAGTAGCTTGATTTCTTGCTTGTAGTAATCTACCTGGAAAAAGAAACATGAGACCATTAAGCAGGGGCTCCTAAAAATTAACTTCTGAAAAATGAATTGAAAAGGTTGTTGGGTATGCCAAGGAGCCGAAGCCTGCGGAGGGCCAGGATGCAAAGACAACAGCGATGCCCCTAGCGTTCCACACTCATGAGGCAAGTCTTGCCTTCTCAGGACCAGCGGGGCAACTGAACACCCTGCAGGCCAGCAGGAAAGAGGTTATCTGGGTACGGGCAGGCAAGTGACTGTTAGGGACTTGAGGTAAGTAACTGCACTGAAGAGCCCAAAGGTTTGGATATAAGCAAGGGTGGTCACCTCCCTGGTCCTCAAGGTAGGAGGAATATGGCATATGATAACAGGTTGTGAACATTGTATTTTAATACAGTTGTCACAATCTATGAACAGACTGGAGACAATATCTGAGAAGACATCATCAGCCTGGTAGGTGAATATAGTTCCCATGTGGCTGAGTGTGAAAGCTGGCAGTTGGCAGGGCTGCACTCAGCATGCCAGCCACCGTGTGACACTGAGACATGCACTGCCCACTGGCTGGCTGTCCTGCCTATCTCCAGGCATTTCTGCTTACATTTCCCTGGAAACTTCTCTTCCCAGTGCCAACTCTTCATAAACCAGATAATTCTAAGACAAATGTCTAAAGGAGGATCAGAACCAATAAGAGATTTCTCTGCATGAGTTGGATGACCCAGGCTTCCCCAAAGGCTCCCCTTAACCCAGTACCTTGGCTTCATCCCCTACCTTGGTCTCCAGCTGGATCCTGAGGTCTTGGTAATGTTCCTTCACTTGCTCCATCATTATCTCCGTTTCAAGGCTCACTGGAGTAGGGCCACCCACACATGAAATGAAGCCTGCAAAGAGAGGGGAATTTCAACTTCTTTCATGCTGAGGACATTACAGGCCCATCACAGCTTTCCTCTTCCCAAACATAGACTCCATATGCTCACAGAGGAGGTGGAGAGACAGAGGAAGTGGTGTACTGGAGCATACAGAATCCTCTGGACAGCATGATACCTAGTGATGAAGGTTCACTGTATGTGGAGGTGACCACATACACCTGCATGGTTTGTTTATTAATTCTTTTTCATGTTGGCCTTCTCCTTCTCTACATTATTTAATATGCTATCATACAAGTCATGCTGGGTTTTAAAAAAACAGTCAGGCACACTAACTACTAGTGGAATGAGGAAGGGTCTTCTTCCAGTGTGGATCACCACTCCGCCACCTTGTGCACTAGGCACATCTGTGAACTGGGTGTGCTATTAGAGCTCATTAGAAAGCTGGCCTGAGACTCAGAATTGCATTTGTGCCATGGCTGGAGCTTCACCTTGCTGTGCTCAGAATGGGAAATGGGGAGAACCACCCGCTATCAACGTCACCCTGAAAATGGTGACAGATTTGGACATCAGGGCCAAGAAAATCTGGACGAGAATCTCCAGAAAGAAAGCACTGCATTGCCTTGGAAACTAGAAGCTGGCCAACTTGCTCAGCAGAATGTGCCGACAGGAGGTGCCACTGGACAGGACATCACCCACACTTACTACAACCCAATGCTTCTTACCCTTCCTCCTAGCAGCAGACAGACCCTTCCTTACTAGAAGGGGCTAAGTGAGCCTCTGTGCTGCTTCTGTGATAGGTTACCAACAGGAAGAGTGGAAGGAGGGGAGAAAAAGAATACACTGGGAAGCCGCTTGTTTTCACTAGTGATGGCATAAACCTTAGATCTGTGCTCCAGTTCTATAGCTCTGAATTTACCCAGGCAGACACAAAACTTTAGAACCTGAGCCGTATCTCTCAGGTTTTGGGTTAGAAGGTTACATGCTTTGTGTAGCTGAGGGTCCTAGATTGGTAAAGCGGACATGAACTATACACTTCCCTGAGGTTAGCAAGCCTGCTTTATGGCAGATCCTCTGGGGTGTCTGAAATGGATGCACAGGCCTTGGTTTCTCTGAATGGGGTGTGGCTGGCAGTGTCTGGTTCTTTCCTGACCTTCCCTGGGAGTCTGGTGGCCTCAGCTATGGGACCCAGGCCTTCAGACTCCATCATGCAGCTTGCAGGTGAGCAGAGTTATGTAGGGGTCTGAAAATGGATCTGAGAAGCAATGCAGGCTTCATGTTGGCTCTTTTAGGTACAATTCTGTTTTATTAAATATAGCTTTTAGGCACTACAGGAACTTGGAAGAAGGAAGACGTTGAGGTGCTACACTGCCAAAGTCTGTGGGTTGTCTTGTTGCCAGTCTCCAAAGGTCTCCCTGGTGGCAGTGGAATTGGTGCTACTGTCCAAGTCAGCAGGGCTACGAGACCATGCCACAACATCTGCTGTCATACAGTGGAGGGGAGCGATGTCAGAACCAGATTTGGCTTCTCATAAGGACTGCAGCAAACATCCAGGCAGCTGCATCACCTGAACCTTGTTCTTGTCTCTAGAAGGAGCTGAGAGCACTCAAGTATAGCTGGAATTTTTCCTGAACTTCAACATGGAGAAGGTCTTGGAGCAGGAGACCTTGGTCAAGTTCTACTTGTAGTTCAGATACGCAGCTCTGTACGTGGGGTGCACGACTGTTCCGAGTGCCACCTGGGAGCTGCTTGAGCTCAATCAAGGCTGCTCTGGCAGTGGTGGGCCCTGCCCCTCCCCACGGTCACAGGTTCACCTTGCTCAGATCCCCAAGAGGACATTTTTGACACCACCCAGGAATAGTAAACTTCAAGCCCTCTCTGAACAGCCGGAACAATCATTAATGTGTTTTAAATGTAGTTTAGTTCCTCTTTCTTTGTAAGAGTTTTCACATCAACCAGCTCACAGCTCAGAGGACAATCTGTATAGAATACAGTATGTACCTGGGGCAGGGGAATGAGGCCCTTGTATTTACTGCCATCTTCCCTCACTTTCTCTGTGTGCAGCCTACACTGAAAGCTCACCATGCAGCCCCTTACTTAGTCCTCACCACAATTGTGAAGGTGATTTGGAAACACTCACTGCAGTTGACATGCCTCTCTCTCACGAGGTTACGGAAGCTTTGCAATTTCTATACAACTGGTAAAGCCCCCTTCCTCCCTCTATATACCCTCAGTGTCCCAGGTGGGTACAGTTGGTGTGTTTGGGGGCAGGTGCTGGTACTCTGGTGTACTGACTGGGAAGTGGCCCCTGACATTGAACTCCCTGGATTCAGAGGCAGCCCATCAGCTGAAGCAGGTGAACTTGTAGAGCCCAGAACCCTGCATCCCTCCCACAATGACAGGCTCTACCTTCTGGGCCATCTGCTGGGGAAAGGCCTCCATCTGACCGGGCACTAGACTGGCTACGCTGGGTCTTGTGCAGCCAAGTCTGTAGGTCCTCCAATGCAGCCTGCAGTTCATCGTTGTGGTCCTGCAAGTCCTGTCAGCAGAGCAGAGACAGCCCTGCAGCCACCATGCCACACTGCAGGGCATGGTGAGCAGTGCAGCACATCATGGCATGCAGGATGCCGGTGGGAAGGAGCTTGGACTCCTGACCTCAAGCATGCAAACTGCAACCTGGACTTTAAGTTCTAAACTACATGGTGAGTTATGTAGTTTATGCCCTACATCACCTTCTATCACTAGATTCATAGGAGTAGCTTCAAAAAGAAAAAGGAGAAAAAAAAAAAAAAAAAAGTGGCGTGGATGTAGGGAGAAATGCAAAACGCACACACTGGATCACCAACATCTGAGTCAACAGGCATGTGTGCAAGTCCACTGTGGTGACGGGATATGGGCAAGAGAAGCAACTCTTTCTCCAAAGGAATCTGCGGCTGGTAACTGCCAAGGAGGTGCCATTAGCTCAAGATAACAAGGCACATAGCAGAGAGGACAGGTCACAAGGATGGCTGGGGCCTAATGAGGTAACATACAGTAGTGGCTGCAAGGTGGACAGGCAATGCTAGGAGGCCTTGTGGAGTCTGCACTCGAATTGTGGCTGCATTGAGCACAGTCTGCATACAGGCCAAGGAAACACTGTAACAAACACATTCAGTCTCCAGGTTTTTAAAAGGTGAATCTTCCTAGACAAAATTCTCAATCACAGATTTAAGGGTACCACAGCAACAAGCACCTGGGCCCTTTCGTGAGTGTGGCGTCTGTGGTCTCTGTTCCTTCTGTAACCCTGGGTGTGGGGGCTGCTGCGTGGGAAAGTGCAGTTAGCATGGCGGCAGTAACTCCAGGCACTCCAGGAATACACGAGCTCTGTCTGGCTTCTCCTTTCTTGAGTGTGGAGTCTGTGGTCTCTGTTCCTTCTGTAACCCTGGGTGTGGGGGCTGCCGCATGGGAAAGTGCAGTTAGCATGGTGGCACTAATGCCAGGCACTCCAGGAATACACGAGCTCTGTCTGGCTTCTCCTTTTAGGGAACTTATTCTGTAAGGAATTTTGTATGGTGAATGAGTCCTCAGACAGTTCTTGTCTAGCTGATGAGTTGTGTAAGTAGGCCCCAACACTGTGAGGTAGAGATGATGTATCCCCACTTTGTACTGTATGAATTCCTGCTCCACAAAATCCATGAGCATATTCAATGTCTTAGCCTACTAAATTTGGGGGCAGTTTGTTATGGAGCCATAGTCATTGTAATGATTGATTGGGCTTCAAAAAAGTTCATGGCAACACAGAATTAAAAGATAATAAATAGAAATTGTCCACAAAATGTTTTGAAGCCCCCTATTTCTTATGCAAATGATAATAAAATAAAATACATTCCCTTAGAAAAAAAGCTAAAGTGAGAGAAGTCTCCAAATAAAATATGTTAGGAAACAGAAGGAAATTCAAATATGATTGGAAAAATCCAGGAAGGCAATGGTAACCTTCTAGGTAATAGTATACCAGTTGCTGCCAACCTCACGCGTGTCAGAGTGGCAGGGTTTTCAAGGCCCATCTAGCCTTTCTTCAAAGATGCCTTGGGGTGGCATCTTTGAAATACCAATCTTTATATTGGAAAGCAGGGATCTGGGAGGCAACCTTTACAAAGTTATCTCTAGCTGAAGGCCTGACTCTTGAATGGTGCTTTGTCATCACTAATGGATATCCTGAGAGCACATAAACTCTCTCAATACTCATCAGTTCCCACTGATCTTGTCAGTTCGTGGTACTGTGATAGTTTGCATGTTGCTGTGTTGTTGGAAGCTATGCCACTGGTATTTTAAATACCATCAGGGTCACCCATAGCGGACAGGTTTTAGCAGAGCTTCTAAACAAAGACAGACTAGGAATAAGGACAGGTGGACTACTTCTGAATGTTTTGCCACTGAAACCTTATGAATACCAACAAAACATTGTTAGATATACAGAAAGAAAACAAAAACATCGTGAATAGTAGTAGAACATTGTCAGATACAGTGCTGGAAAATGAGCCCCTCAGTTTGAAATGCACTCAAACTATAACTGGGAAAGAGCTGCCTTCTCAAAGTTCAATTGGCCATAAATGAAGCAAAACTTTTGGGACTGTAATGTATTGATAGTGCACAATTCAAAATGAGGAGAAATAGATACAAACACCCAGTAATAACAGTAACATAGAATGTATGAAGTATAAACCTAGGAAAATTGGAAGTTGTAAAAAATGAAATGGAACATATAGAGATTTATTATCCTAGGCATTAGTAAGCTGAAAAGGACTGGTGTTAGACAATCATGTGGTTTATTATGCTGGGAATGACATATTCAAGAGGAAGTACATCATATACTTTGTCAAAAAGAACATTTCAAGATCTATCTTGAAAGGCAATGTTGTCTGTGATAGGATAATATTCACATGTCTAAAAGGAGGACATTCAAAGTATCCAAGAGCAAAGATACCAGTTTGAGGACTAAGGTGCGCTCGTCACAAGTCATGGTATTTTCAGTCGCCTTATATGCATGTGAAAGTTAGACAAAAAATAAGGAAGATAAGAGAAGAGTTGATAACATTTGAGTTACAGTGTTGGAGAATATTAAAAGTACCATGGACTGCCAGAAGCACAAACTAATCTGTGTTGGAAGAAGTACAGCCAGAATGCTTCTTAGAAGTCAGGATGATGTCTAGACTTCTTCTCTCATACTTAATATATATTACCAGGAGGGACCAGTCCCTAGAGAAGGACATTATCCTTGTTGTAAAATGAAGGGCCAGTTAAAAACAGCAAGACCCCAATGAGAGGTATAGGCACATTGGCAACAGTAATGGACTCAAGCTTAACAACAATTGTGAGGCTAGTGCAAGACTACACAGTTTCATTCTGTTGTCCACAGGGTCAATATGAGTTGGAACGACAGCACCTAACAACATGGACGACCAGTTAGTACCAATATTATTCAAATTTATGCATCAACCAATAAAGCCAGTGATGATGAATATGAAAAATTCTGCAAACTTCTTCAGTCTTACATTAATTAAATATGCAATCAAGATGCATTGATAATTATTGGTGATTGGAATAATACAAAGGTTGGAAACAAAGAGGAAGGATCAGTAGTTGGAAAATATGGCTTCAGTGACAGAAATTATGCTGGAGATTGCATGATAGAATTTTGTAAGACCAACAACTTCTTCATTGTGAATAGCTTTGAAAATAACCTAAAAGGTGATATACACATGAACCTCACCAAATGGAATTCACAGAAATCTAACTGACTAAATATTTTGGAAGAGACAGTTGTAAAGCTCAATATTATTAGACAAAACAAGGCCACAGGTCAACTATGGAACAAACCATTAATTGATCCTATGCAATTTCAGGCTGAAGCTGGAGATGAAAAGAAGTCCACTAGAGTCAAAATACAACCTTGATTATTATATCCCTCCTGAATTTAGAGACCATCTCAAAAGCAGATTTGATGCATTAGACACTAATGACCCAAGACCAGAAGAGCTGTGGGATGATATAAAAAAATATCGTACAGGGAAAAAACAAAGACAAGAAAGAAAGAACAGACCAAGATGGATGTCAGAAGATGCTCTGAAACTTGTTCTTGAGCATGGCAAAGTGAATGGAAGAAATGAGGAGCTAAGAGAGCTGAACAGTAAATTTCAAAGGGCAGCTTGAGAAGACAAAGTGAAATGTTAAAATGAAATGTGCCAAGACCTGGGTTAGAAAACCAAAAG